TATATATGTATATATAACGCCAAAAAGTTTTAAAGTTCACTCATTGGCTAGCTAAGTACTTGTGGACCCTGGAATAGTGATCCCGGACAAGGCCTCGAACTCTACCTGGAAGGGAGGATAGATGCGGAAGAGGTTAGCAATGCTGATGCGCATCTGGTCCAAGCCCACCTGACCGGGGCTATTATAAGCAATGATAGAGTTGACGGGGCATGCTGGGCAGGCTTACTAAGTCAGCTGAGTCGGGGTCCTAATGGGCTCTTTGGGAATTCTTCGGGGCTTTCCTGCCTCGTCCGACACGTGGGTCGTAGTTGCGGCGGCATCCGGATCCACATAGACCAGATCGGGCCGGAAATAGACATTACGGTCCAACTGCGATGTATTCAAAGACACCGGTCTCTCTCCATACTTGCTTCCTCCTGAATTAATGTGAGTTTCAAAGGTGATTCCTTCGAATGCGTCGTTCGAGACATCGATGTCACAGTGTATCCCTGTGGAGGTGTCATAGCAGGCCCAGTCGGATGCGGGTGGTACATGGTTGCTCGGCAGGCTCTTCACCGTGAGCTGACAAAGCTCCATGCACGGAATCATGAAGGAGTCTTCAAGATTCTGCTCGTCCATACCTCGGTTCATCACCGTCTTCTGCTAAAAAACAATGAGTCTGGCCTCGCAGCCTGTCGCAAACCATAAACCTCGATAGGTTTATGATGCTTTATGTAATAGGATGTTGGCGGTGATTGCCTGGTTTAGAGTTGCCTTAGAGTTTTATGACTTTTAGTACTCCTATGTGACTTTCTATGAGGTGAGCGTACCTGAAACCCATAATCCATCGTCCTCACGCCCTCATGGCCTTCCTCAATACTTGTAGTACGAATAGCGACACCAAACCCGCAACAAACAGCTGTCCAAGACCTGAGAGTCTGTAAACCTGCAAAAACCAAAACCGGATCTCGAAACCTTAGCCCTGAAGTTCAAAGGCCCTGAAGAGGAATGGCACAGCCAGGCCGCCGATGAACTCCATGTAGTTGGCCAGAGAATCATAGGTCGCATGCAAAAGCCCCTGCAGGGATGCCGGATGGGTGGTTGTCAAAATCATGGTC